ACCAACATTGTCCTTGAGTCCCTCTTCTCAGAAATCTAGTTGTCCGTGGGCGACTTCTCCAAGGGTAAGGCAGGGAACACAGTAGCAGAAATGGATATTGCCCTCAAGAGACCCAACAGGTCTTCCCCAGGACTGTTCTCGAATGAAAAGACCCTCTCTCCACTGGTGCCCAGTCCTAGCAGGACACAGCAGAGGACGCCTCTCTGGAAACAGGATGTGCAGACACTCCACGGATGCCTAAGTAGCTTTTACGTTTTGTCTCATCTTTGCTTCCACCTGTGGTGGAAAGTCTCAGAGCCTTCCTAAAATAACATTCCGTAGTCTTTAAAAACCTTGGCACTTTGCACATGGCTGATGCTAGTTTTCCCGAGGTTATTCAAACTACTGTCCTATAAACATTCACCAAAAGTCACCCATTTTTTTGGCTTCATTTATGTATGCACTTGTTTGCTTCTTCTCAGAGCTCGCTCCTGCTACCAGTGACGACTCAGGAAATAACCCTGCCTCTGAAGGATATAGCCTCAACTCCCAGCTCCTCCTGCCACCTCCTTCAGCGGCCCCTTGAGGCTTTTGAGACAGGAGGGGGATGAGAAGCCTGGATTAGACCAAGTCTCTGAATTGAGTCCCAAAGTGTTGGCTCAAACCACAAACCGTGCAGGTTGAGCCAGGGCTCAAGAAGCAGTTCTGCCAATGAGCACCGGAGAGCCTAAGGGTGGTTTATTATTTTGATGCTTCAGTTAAGTGAGCCCCAGAACTGAAAGACAATCACCTAAAAAGGTGCAGGGTTGACAGCCAGGGTGCTAGGCTGACCTCACTGATACACCGGCGGCCATTTCTTCTGCCACACTCAAGACCAGGCTCTTGCCATTCGCCCTTACACACTGACACAGATTTCTACATGCAAAGAATTGCCCCGGGGAACACTGAAAATAAAGATTCCTGGGACCCCTCTCCAACTTGCTCACTTAATTACACCCTCAAATATTGGACCTAAGCATTGGGTTTTTATTTGGCCCCACACCCATTTCTCACTCACACTCATGTCTGAAATCCAGGCTTTGTCAGATAATTGAAACAACCTCTCAATTCCCATAATGGTTTTGTTCTTAAAAAATAATTTATTGGGGACTGTGCTGTGGTATAGCAGGTTAAACCACTGCCTGTAATGCTGGCATCCCGTATGGGTGCAGTTTGAGTCCTGTGGATCCAGATAAAATTTTAACTCAGGGCTCTCTCCTAACCTTCCCAAAAATCTACACTGGATTCATGTTTCATGTTTCTTAAATATTGCTATCGAAGCTAGCAATTTTGTAGCCTCGCTCACTGTGTCCTTCTTGTTAAAACTCTTACCAAGCTTTCAAATTTAACCCAAATGCTGCCTCCTCCTTAAAGCTTAGACTGGTTCCCCTAGTCAAATACAGTTTCTCTGCTAGAATTTCTCAAGCTTTTTATATTTGTTTCATGACAGTGATTTTGGCTTGCTTTGTTTTTAATTTGTAAGGCAGAGAGAGCGCACACACAAGACAACACTCCCATCTGCTGCTTCCCTCCCCAAATGCTTGGAATGGCCAGGACTGAAGCTGGGACTGGAGAATGGAGTCCAGATCTCCCATGTGGCTGGCAGGAACCCACTGCCTCCCAGGGTATGCATAGCAGGAATTGCAGGCAAGAGTTGAGTTGGGTATCAAACTCAGGTACTCTCTGATACAGGGTGCAGGTGGCTCCATCACTGTGCTAACCAGCTGCCCCAGTGAGATCATATTTTGCCTCAGGCAATAGCTACATTTGTTATTCTCCCTCCAGATTGTAAAATCCTTGAGGTAAAAAAAAAGTCTTACCGTAGTTGCTATTCAATGTGTGCACCGGAAGTGTAGAACACTTGGTGCTCTCTGAACCTTTGATCTCAGTATAGCATCTTCATGTCCTACTGGGATCAGGAACTAAGGAGTGGGGCTGGTGTTGTGGCTCAGTGAGTGATGCTACCACCTGTGATGCTGGCATCCTACGTGGGCAGTGGTTGGAGTCCTGGCTGCTCCACTTCCAATCCAGCTCCCTGGTGATGCACCTTGGAAAGCAGCTGAAGACGCAATACCCACGTGGGAGGCCCAGATGTAGTTTCAGGCTCCTGGCTTTGGCCTGGCCCAACACTGGCTATTGCAGTTATTTGGGGAGTGAGCCAGTTGATGGAAGATCTCTCTCCCCCTCCCTTTAACTCTGCCTTGCAAGTGAATAAATCAATCTTAAAAAAAAAAAAAAAAAAACCTAAAGAAGTGTTTGTTCTATATGTCAGGTAAGATATAGTGAGTGTGAAGTATTGAAGGATTTCCTCTTATTTCCACTGCATCAGCCATCACATAATCAGGTATGTTGTCAGAGATTATCAGAAAAAAAGTAGGAAGGCAGACAAACTTAAACATCAGAAGGTATACTCAATTATAGATTTCTGGTGAAACTTTTTCACATATGAGGGGACTTCAAAAAGTTCACGTATTTTAATTCATTTCTTCCAGGAGTTTTTGCAAGTAAAATTACAATGCTTAAGAACCCTTGGTATAAAGATTTGGGAAAAGGTGAGGGGTAATGGGATTAAAGGGTTAATTTTTTTTCATGTATCTTTAGACACTGTTCACACATGCTTCTCTGTGCAGTTGCAGATGTTTATTCTTAAAGCAAAATCTACACTTTTTTTTCCTAATGAATTTAGATTAAACCCTGTTTGGTACAGATGTTGAGTGAAGGCACCTGAGGAGTACATTTTGCCAGGACTTGAACCGGTGACCATATGGGATACCAGCACCGCAGACCAGGGCTTTAACCTGTACTGTCACACCACTGGCCCCCAGTAGTACCTTTTCAGTGTGGAAGGAAGTAAAGTAGGCAGGACAGATTTGTGACCCAATATAGAAGAAAACTGACCAGAAATTACAGACAAGAAAGAAGAGACTTACGTGAAGATCAGTAAGATATAAATCAGTTAGAGGAACCCATCTGCACAAACCAGCGTTTATGGATTTTTATTTTTCACTGTTATTTAAATATTACTCATAAGATTATTTCTGAGAATAACTGCGTTTTTGACCCTTACATTTTCCTTTTTGCCCTATAATCTTAATAAATCTGAAATACTAATCATGAGATGAAATTTGAAGAACTGAAAGCCTCAAGGGTTGTTTTATGAAAGAGATTAAGTGGAGAGACATTTGAAAAACAAGCAATGCATGGAGCAGGTGGTTAGTCTGGCTGTTAAGACACCAGTTAACATATCCATATCACACATTATAGTCCCTGGGCTTGATGCCCAGTCTACTTACAGGGGGAACCTAAGTAGCAACAAGCACTCCTAACACCCAGATCTTAGCCTCCAATAAAAGATAACCAGAAATAAAAAGCGAGTGATTCTTGGACAGGGTCAGGAACAATACCAGCTAAGCTTGGAACACCATGTCATGGCAAAAAGAAGTGTAAAGGGCTGGCGCTGTGGCACAGTGGGTTAACTCCCTGGCCTGAGGCATTGGCATCCCATATGGGCTCAGGTTCGAGACCTGGCTGCTCCACTTCTGATCCAGTTCTCTGCTGTGGCCTGGGAAAGCAGTAGAAGATGGCCCAAATCCTTGGGCCCCTGCACCCATGTGGGAGACCTGGAAGAAGTTCCTGGCTTCTGGCTTCAGAGCGGCACAGCTCCGGCAGCTGCGGCCAATTGGAGAATGAACCATCAGATGGAAGACTTCTCTCTCTCTCTCTCTCTCTCTCTGCCTCTTCTGTGTAACTCTGACTCTCAAATAAATAAATAAATATTTAAAAAAAAGAGTTCAACAAAGTGTGAAAATAAAACACTGTTCTTGAACAGTAGAGGCAAGGGCTGTAAACAGTCATCAAATCTCAAACTGTCAATTTCACTCCAATACATAAAGCTGCCTTTTGCCAGCTGCGAAGCCAGCAGCAGCAGCAGCAGCAGGTTGAGCCCTTCCCATGCTGCCTTCCTTCTGATTCGACAAAAAACACCCTCCTTTAAAGGATGCCTCTGATTGGATTGCCCCCACCTGGAGAATCCTGGCTGCTCCACCTCTCAGGGTCCTTAGATTTCATTTCATTTTGCCATGTCAGTCAGAGCCTGGGCATCTTCGGAGGCCACTCTGTTGCTTCACACACTGCTGAATGTCTAGTTACTCCCTACTTATGACCTCCCAGAGACGTCTCAGACACAAGGACTGCAGAATCCCACCCATCTTGCACCAAATGTGCTTTTTCTTGGTTGGGGGCTTCATTGCCATTCCACAAACTGACAAGTGAGGTTTTTCCAGAATCCCTTGCACATGTGTAAATCATGTGGCTTTATAAATACATCATCTGGAATCATAAATGTTTCTCCAATCATTCCCTGTCCCCCTTCCTGTGCTCCCACTCTCTACCCTGACAGAGTTTCCGTTTTCCTCAAAAAGAAAATGTTTCTTGAATAACGGTGTCTGGCATTTGCTAGCTAGTAGAGCTAACCTGAATAAGGCAGCCGTGTTGTCTGCCCCAGTGAGATTCCTGGTATGGTATGGAAAATACACATCAAAGAATCATGTATGATAAATGCCCTGGATGGTATGCTCTTGAAATTTCTTATCACACATCCCTGATTTCATTTCAAGCATTGAGGTTCAAAATTTGAATTTTCCAAGGACAGACTATGAAGCCAGATAGTTAAACCAATTAACAGTGAGCCTGTGTGTGTGTTGCTTTTTCTTGATACTATAAAAGTGGATTCTGATAAGGATGAAAAACGGCTGCTTAATGACATGCTAAATATGGTAACCTACCTGCAATAAAATCGGGCAAAAATGGCTTGTACTACCTATTTTTATCAGCTATTGTCTAAACGGAGTGGAATAGCAGGTGTTAAGGCTACACGATAGGTTGCATGAATCCAAATGCCTGGGATGGGATCTGCATGTTTTCGTCTTAAATTAGCCATGCCCATTTAGCATCAGCAAATTATGAAACAAATTCCAACTCACCATTTCTCCATCCCTGAAGTGTCCCAGTTTCCAAAGACCCCACGTTCTCTGGCTGATGGCTTCCTTCCGTCTGTGTGGAATCCTCAAGTTGCTTCTATCTGACCCAACTCTCTCACATCAGGGCCTGGAAGCTTCTCTGCTTTCAGACTCGGCTGATTGGATTGGTCACACCTGGATAACACAGTCACAGGTTTGGGGGATGAGGAGTTGGGTGATTTGGGTGAAAGAGGCCATTATTCACCCTACCAGGTCCACATTATATCTGGAGAGACTTCTCTTTTTTATTTTTTATTTTTTTGACAGGCAGAGTTAGACAGTGAGAGAGAGAGCAACATGGAGAAAGGTCTTCCTTCCTTCTGTTGGTTCACTCCCCAAATGGCCGCTACTGCCGGTGTGTTGCGGCCAGCACACTGCGCCGATCCGAAGCCAGGAGCCAGGTGCTTCCTCCTGGTCTCCCATGCGGGTGCAGGGCCCAAGCACTTGGTCCATCCTCCACTGCACTCCCGGGCCTCAGCAGAGAGCTGGACTGGAAGAGGAGCAACCGGGACAGAATCCGGCGCCCCAACTGGGACTAGAACCGGGGGTGCTGGCACCGCAGGCGGAGGATTAGCCCAGTGAGCTGCGGTGCTGGCTGAGACTTCTCTTTTTTAAAGTTAAGTAATTAATTAATTTTTATTAGAAAGGCAGATCCAGAGAGAGAAATTCATCACTAGTTCATTTCCAAAATGCCTGCTACAGTTGGGACTGGGCTAGCCAAAGTCGGGATCCAGAAACTCCACCCAGGCCTCCCATGTGGGTGGCAGGGAGCCAAGTACTTCAGCCATCACCTGTCGCCTCTCAGGGTGTGCATCAGCAGAAAGTTTGATCAGAAGTGGAGGTGGGACTCAAATCCAGGCTTTTCAACATGGGATGCAGGCATTCCAAGTGGTAGCCTAACCCTCTGCACCACAACACCTGCCTCTGGAAAGCCTTTCTTAGCTTCCAGACATAAGCCACTATGTTGATCATAGTACACTCCTCTTACCCAGGTGAAAACAAGAGTGGAGACAAAACTTTCAGGAGATGCAGCAGAGAGACCAGTCACAGCTCATCAAATGGGGCCTTCAACTCAAAGGAAGCATTTGTGCCTGCCAGCATTCCACCTGGTTCTGATTCACTTCGATATAAGTGCCAGCAGCTTAATAGTTGGTTCTTATTGGTGTTTCATATGCCTATCAGAACTTAGAATATTTGATCTAGTAAGTTATCAAATGTGTGCAGTGTGTTAGGTATTATTAAGACAATGGTTTGTGTTGGGAAGAGGCCAATCTAATTTGGACAATTGATCATCCTTGTATTTATGCAGTGCTACCATCAGCACAGAATCAAGCCTGAAGAATTTTACACCAAGTCCACAATCCTTAAATTTTTAACAAAATTTCTCTTTACATGGGTTCTATCAGCTTTTAAATGTCCAAGACTCATTTGCTTGTATTCTATTTATGATAAATGGTGGTAGATTGAAGCATAGGGAATCGCGAACTTGAGATGCTGACATTTTTCACGATAGGATCGAGTAGGATAAAGCAAGTGTACAAGAAATGAAGGCAGGTGCACAAAGACCTGCTTTGTTCTTTATTCTTTCTGACCAGAAGGAACTCGTGACACATGAAATGGAAGATGCCATAAATCAAAGCTATGGAGATGATGGCAAGGCAACAAAGTAATGCAACTGCACACAACACTCCTTGCTCTGCCGACTCCCAGCCCTCCCCACGTGACTTGCTGCTTTCATCACGCATGCCTGCTCAGAGAGAAACAGACCCAGTCCAGCTGGGCATTCGTGGAAAGACCATTATATCCTTAACGTGGACTTTCCTGCTCCGTGTTCAGGAGATCAGTGAAGGGTGCGTTGGCTAGTTTCTGTTGGAAGTGTTGTGCAGCCAGCACAAAGGGTATGTTACTATCCTTCCTGCAACCCTTAACCACAAAAGCAAATTAAATTTGTATCAAGAGGTATTAGAGCAAAGATGTGTTTTCTAAATGATGAAATGCTCTGAAATAATATGATCATGTTCCAAATGTGATTACACGGAGCCCGTAATCTGACATTTTGCCACATAAAGATCTCCACTGAGAAACATAAAAGGATAGGTAAATGAATTCCACTGCCATGCCAGTCCCATTTGGTTATACATCTCCCTGTGTCATGTAAAGTGCATTTGGAGAGAGGGATACATTACTCTTGTCTATTAAAGATACCAGAAATCCCCACCCCCAAACTTTGCTTCAAGCTCAGAAGACTTTTCTGGGGCTGACTATATATATATATATATATATGTGTGTGTGTATATATATATATATATATATATAGACAGGCAGAGTTAGTGAGAGAGAGAGAGACAGAGAGAAAGTCTTCCTTCCGTTGGTTCACTCCCCAAATGGCCACCACGGCCGGCGTGCTGCGCCCATCCGAAGCCAGGAGCCAGATGCTTCCTCTTGGTCTCCCATGCGGGTGCAGGGCCCAAGGACCTGGGCCATCCTCCACTGCACTCCCGGGCCGCAGCAGAGAGCTGGACTGGAAGAGGGGCAACTGGGACAGAACTGGCGCCCCAACCGGGACTAGGACCCAGGGTACCAGCGCTGCAGGCAAAGGATTAGCCCAGTGAGCTGCAGCGCCAGCCCTGGGGCTGACTGTATTAACAGGCTGGTTCTAGTGGATTTTCACACATTCATGCAGGAATCTGGGCATGAGATCAGCTGTGATGGAACAGCAGCAACAACAGCGTATCAGACATTGGGCCACAGGTTAACAGGACATAGCTCATGTTACAACTCACCAGGGCAAAACTTGTCACTTCAGCATCTCAGCAGGCGTTCTCGTTGACTCTCTGTTTATGTCTGTGATACTTACATAAGCAGTGCAATAAACAGGAATGCGTCCTTCTCTGTCTCCCTTAGCCCAACCCTTCAGGTGGCAGACAGCTAACACTGGATAAGGCAGCACATTGGAAAGCAAAATAATTAAGATCTCAAGAGAAGAAAATCAATTGGGCAGAGCTGGGTAGAAGCTAGAGTATGAGAGAAAAAGATCATGGGCAGTTTATCTATTACAAACTTATCTATCACAAACCTTCCATGGAATGCTGATCCAGTTGGCCTCTCTATTGCTAACTCTGGGCGTGCATCTGTTTTAATGTTTCTGGCAGCCATTCAGCATCTACAGGTTGGTGTTATATCCCAAAACACTCATTTGTTCACAACCTGGAATAATAACTTTTTACTGTTAATTTTTTTTTCTATTTGTTTTTGTGACGTTTAGTCTTTTTCCTAGACTAGATATCTTGGACCGCTATTTTACTTTAAAGCCAAGCATTTACCAGACTGTCAATTTCTTCTAGATGTTGCTCATATTCTCTTAGGCTAGGCCCATGCTGGGTACTTAAAAATTTCTCTAAGGCACTTGAAATAGTGCCTAAACTGGGAAAGACTCATTTTTTTAAATAACACATTTAAAACCATGAAATAAAATTGTAAAAATTGTAAAAGAACTGGAACCATGCAGAGGTAGTTGGAAAGTAAAAGCAAAAACCATTAGTATCAATCGCACAGAAGGTGTTTGAAGATGCCAGTGTGCATGTATGTGAGGGCCCCTGTCTTAGGTAGAAAGTCCCCAAGAGCTGTTTCTTTGTTTTCAATGATCTACGCTCCTCTGAAGACTTTAAAAATGCTGATTGTTGGGGTCAGCACTGTGGCATAGCGGGTAAAGCCGCTGTCTGCAGTGTCAGCATTCCATATGGGCACCGGTTCGAGTCCCAACTGCTCCACTTCTGATCCTTCTCTCTGCTATAGCCTGGGAAAGCAGTAGAGGATGGCCCAAGTCCATGGACCCCTGCAGCCACATGGGAGACCTGTAAGAAGCTCCTGGCTCCTGGCTTCAGATTGGTGCAGTTCCAGCCGTTGCGGCCAGTTGGGGAGTGAGCCAACAGATGGAAGACCTCTCTCTCTCTCTCTGTCTCTCTGCCTCTCTGCCTCTCCTTCTCTCTCTGTGTAACTCTGCCTTTCAAACAAATAAATCTTTTAAAAAATGCCAATTTTTAAAATGAAGTCCCTTTGGGGGATCTATATTCTATGTTCATCTCAGTCCCTACTGTTTTCTTTTTTAAGATTTGTTTATTTATTTGAAAGTCAGAGTTACACACAGAGAGAGGAGAGGCGGGGGGCAGGGGGGAGGTCTTCCATTGGATGGCTCACTCTCCAATTGGCTGCAATGGCCAGAGCTGCGTTGATCTGAAGCCAGGACCCAAGAGATTCCTCTGGGTATCCCACATGGGCTCAGTGGCCCAAAGAGCTGAGCCATCCTCTACTGCTTTCCCAGGCCATAGCAGAGAGCTGGATCAGAGGAGGAGCAGCCGGGACTTGAACCAGCACCCATATGGGATGCCAGCTCTGCAGGAGGCAGCTTTACCATAGCTACATGGCTACACCATAGCCCCAGACCCAACCCTACTGTTTTATGACTTGCATCCCTCTACGGGCAGGCTTCCTGGCCAGGAAATCAGCAGGGTGGGGAAAACTCTGTCATTCCCTCCCTGGCCACTGTCCTCATTGGCACATCTTCCATTTTCCCTCTTCTAAAAAACTGACATCCACCCAGATGCCTTGGGTTTTGCTGAAAATTATTTATTTGTTTGTTATTTTTTGTTAATGAAGAGTGACAGAAAGGGAGAGACAGAGAAAAATCTTCATCCTCTAGTTTATTCCCTAAATGCCCGTAGCATCTGGGGTTTGGCCAGGCCAAAGGCAGGAGCCAGAAATTCTATCCAGGTCTCCCACGTTGGGGACAGGAACCCATGTACTTGGACCATCATCTCTGGCCTTCCAAAGCACATTGACAGAAAGTTGGGTGGTAAGCAGAGGAGCCAGGACTTGAACTGATACTCCAAAAGGGATGCAGCCATCATACGCTGTGACTGAAGCCACTATGCCACAACACTTCTCCTGAGATGACTTGACTTTTATTCAAAGAAGAGTGAACAAGTAAATTTGTCCCTTGAGAACAGAATGAGTGAAAACAGCATGTGTGGAAAACTATCTTTAAAATGCAAAGAAAATTTCCATTTCCATTTTGCAGTGTGAGCTGAGTGCACCTGAAGGCAGAGAGATGGCCACATTGCTTTCTTGACATTCCTTCCTCTTGACTGGTCGTATACAACTACTGCTGTTGTTGGCCATGTTCAGTATCAGATGCTATACTGAGTCCTGAAACAATCCGTAAGAAAGAAGATTTTCCCAAGAATAAAGCCAACAATTCTGCTCCCCCATAGCACATGGGCCCATTTCCCCCCTGGAAAAGGCGTGCATAGTCCACCATGAAGATGAACACGTGTTACCTTGCAGAGGGAGGGGGAGGGGAAGAAAGCCTATGATGGAGACAATTGCTGACCAGGGAGCACTTCCCCCAGCCCATGAGGGGACAGAACCGGAAAAGAGAAGCTGAAAAAGGAGGTGGCTGAACGGATTTGCCATTCAATATCTGGTTTCATCTATTTTCCATACTCTGCTGCTCATCCAGTGATCTATTTTATTTCCTCTCCAAGAGTAATGAAAATGTCATGTCCAATAACACCAGACAAGAAACAGTGCTTTCACACTTTTCCGAGGCACGCTACTGCTGAGTCTTTCAAGACCACTCTAGCTGTACTCTGTTGGGGGGGGAAGAAAGGCCGGTTCTCTAATTCTCCTCCCTTGATATAGAAAAACACCTTCAGCCCAAACTGTTCCTTGGTGACCAATAGAAGACAGCCAATAAGTTTCCTGCAATACCTGGCATTGCCTTCTTGTACCTCCTGTTATCAGCAAATAAGTTCATATCTTCTGGGATGCTGAGACATGTGGACTCCACTCAGTGTGATCACCACACTGCCACCATCCCACACCTACACACATCTCATAATCTGGGGATTATTCGCTTTCATCGGCATCCCTGCTGATAGTGACATTGACGCCAGGCTTGCATCCACAGCCTACATATGGAAAGATCTTCCCCATAAAGAGCCACTACCATAGAATTCTCTGATGCTTGAAATTAAAGGTTGGGTATCAAGGGAACACGAACCACTCAACTCAAGTCAACCTAAGCTTCAATTCCTTTTGGTCTGGTCTTCTAACTCTTCTATTTCCTTATAACTGGTGACCTGTCTGCATTTGACCCTGAATTATGACTGAACTTCCACCCCACCAAATTGCTTTCCTTCCTCTGGTTTGCTGGGCAGTTAACACATTTGATGTCTGATAAAATTATGTCCCCTTCCTCTTCAGCATTGCCAACTTCTGCTTGTGCTTGGGACCTCATGATATGCTTCTACGATTGGACCAGACTTGTGGGCTTGGTTAAGTCTTCATTAAGCAATATTCAAGGCTATTATCAACGAATAATGAAATTTTGAATGACTATCATTTTTGGGAGCTGTTAGGCCTGGTGATACTGTAGTGACTAATTCCTCTACTCAGAGAGCTTGGAATACGGCAGGGGAGTCTACACACACAATCAAGGGTACAGCAAGACTGGCTAGTCATGAGCCAACTGGTGCAGCCCAGAGTTTTCATTCAATAACATTCACAGAAAACGCATCAGCAGAGTCTGAATCTATTAGAAAGGGTGTCACACCGTGGGTTGACCCTAAGAGGGAAAATGAAGAAAGGGCAGGATTTGGATAGGTAAAAGGAAGAATGAAACTGAACATTCCAGGCATCATGAATATTATAAGTAAAGGTAGAGAGGTGGGGATGGTGAGGTTGAGTTCTCAGAACCTCAAGATAAGCAAGTGTATCTCACACTGGGGCTGGAGCAGAGGGGAACCTGCAGAACAGCTACATGGGACGTCTGCCTCTTGGTAAGTTTCAGTCCGCAGAAAACAGAAGGTTACTGTAGGCTAGTGACCAGACACATTGCTTAGGGTAATAGAAACCTTTATGACAACCAAACCCCCTAATCTCAGTGACTTGACATAACATACATTTATTCTCTGCTTATATAAAGTCCAAATGAAATGGTTCGGATTGGACACAGTGGAGCCAAGTTTAATTAAATAAATGACATCATAGCTCAGCTATAGCTTTCTGTCAGCATACATTTATTATAATCTCACTTGGCAAACATCTTCTAAGCACCTACAATATCTGGGGCACTGTTCTTAACTGATGCTGGAGATGCTGACTTAGGCAAAAGACACAGTCTATGCCTTTGAGGATCTCCTGCCTGGTGGGGAAGCCAGACGAGAAGAATGGAGTATTACTTCATCTGCTATGGAGCAGAAAGGCAAGAAGATTGTGGACCCAGAAAGCTCAAAGTAGAACCTTTTAATGGGCATTTACTTGACTGTCCGATAGGAGCAGTTGCTCAACTAAGTTCTTAGAAGAAGCATGACAAGAGCAGGCACTAGGGCTGTCAGTTAAGACCCCAGTTAACATGTCACATCTCACATCAGAGTCCTAGGCTGATACCCAGCTCCAGCTCAAGACTCCAGCTTCCTGCTAATGCTGCCTCTGGGAGGCAGACGTGATGGCTCAAGGAACTAATGTGATTTTGCCTTTCTACTTGGGGGACCTAGATTGCATTATCAGTGCCCAGGTTTGGCCTGGCCCAGCCCAGGCTATTGTGTGTATTTGGGGACTGAGCGAGCAGATGGAAGCTCTCTTTCTCTCTCTGTCTCTCTCTCTCTCTCTCTCCTATTTCTTTTTCTCAAATAATTTATAAATGAAAGAGGCTGTACTCCTTAATTCACAAACAAAAATAAACAGTGTAAGTCCCCCGAGTTCAGTGAAAAACCACCTGACTTTAGGTCAATTGATTCTTATCACACAGAGACACCTGCTCTTCATAAACAGCTGATTGTTTGCCTTTGCTGTTCAAGCTCAGGTGCTGACTTTTCTGTGTTTTCTTGTGGCATTATGAGAACCTGCATATCCTGCTTTGGGGACCCACTCCTGGATACAACTTCTTCAGTTATAACACCAGCATAAGAGAAATGGGGACAGGGAGAAACTAGGACCTTCTCTGCCCGAGACCAGGTATCTCTCAAATACTCATCTGTCTCTCAGACTCACCTGGCCTTTTGACTGGTCCTTGCACATTGGTTTAGAACATTTCTTCCACTTCTGGTTGGAAAGCATATACTTCTCTTATTCTGATTGAAATTATATTTCTCCTCGGGCCATTTCTCTTTGGCATATTTTGGCACTATCATACTATTTTTACAGATGTACAAGTAGAAATATGGGTTTAGGGTATAGGCTTTGGTGCCAGGCCAACCACGTCCATATCTTGCATAATTCTTTTGTAAGTTTTTTATTTGTTTATTTGCTTAAAAGGCAGAGAGGGAGAGATACAGAGATGGAGAAATCCCTTCTGTTGGTTCACTCCCCCACACACCTGCATCAGCTGACACTGGGCCATCCTGAGCTCAGTCAGCAGCCAGGAACTCCATCTGGGTCTCCCACGTGGGTGGCAGGGACCCAACTACTTAAACCATCATCTGCTACCTCCTAGGGTGTTTATTAGCAGGAAGCTGGAATCAGAAGCCGAGCCAAGACTTGGAAGTCAGACACTCTGATATGGGATGCTAATGTCTGGAGTGGTGTTTAACTTTTACACCAAATACCTGCCCTTTCATAATACTCCTGTTGGCCATGTGGGCAAGATAATGAACTTCTCTGCTTCCATTTTGTAAGGTAGCAATAAAAATAGGACTTACTTCCTTTGATGGAGGGAGCCCAAAACCTCTTTGTTCACTGTGTCTCAGTGATTCTTTTCACTGTGGCCCTAGGAGAAAACAAACACCTAATAGTTCTCTATTAAACACGCCCAAACAACTTAACTATGTATGTCCTAACAACGTACAATGGAAAATATAACACACATAAATTAAAAGAGAAAATGGCAGTTTGAGGTTATTCTTGAACACTATTGCTTACCAATGAGGTGTGTGTACCTGCTGGGCCTCGACACGTCTTCCAGCTTTCCAGTTATTGGGGCCACTCTGGTTTTCTTCTCATAGTGGCTATTCCATCCCAGTAACCACGACCAACAAAGCCCTGTAAAGGCAGAACAGAGTCACAGGGCATATTATGTGATCTAAGGTTGGAACTATGAGGCAGCTTGAGCTAGAAGTTCCAGTGGCATCCAACAGAAGTTGAGCATCATAGTTCCAGTGGCGTCCAACAGAAGTTGAGCATCATGAGATTTTTCCCTTGACCTCTTCAGTTTTCCACAGAGCTCCCTGAGTTTGCTGTCACAAGCGCACAGTTTAGACTCACAGTTAATTTATACAAAGCACTTAGAATCAAGTTTACTGGGTACTGGCATTCAAAATGTCAGATACTGTGGGGAGCAACTGGGAGCAACCCGGACTGGACTAAGTTACTGGAATTAAGACTTATTCTATGCATCTGCTCTCCCACAATATGGTGCTGGGAGAGCAGAAAACAGCTTCTACGCAGCTGCCTCTTGCCAACTTGAGTGATGACCTCCAGGAGCTGATCCTGCTCCTGATTGGAGGAGAGCAGCGTACTCGGCGTGTGGGCAGCTGAGTTGGGATTGGCGGAGGAGGACTATAAAAGAGGAGAGAGACGGCATGCACCAGGAACATCTAAGGGGAACATCTATCTGAAGGAACACCTGTGCAGCCCCCGAGAGAGCCAGCCGGCGGTGTGCTGCTCCCCTGCAGAAGTGGGGAAAGTGGCCAGGGGGAACCGCCCTTCCACGGAGGTGGAAGGGTCAGTAGCCAACCCGGGAAGAACCAGCAGCAAACCCGGGGAGGGCCGAGCAGACGAAAGAACAGCGCAGGGTCCTGTGTCGTTCCTCCACGAAGAGGGGGAGCGACATAATGGTGCCGTGACTCGGATATGAAGCCTAGGCAGGGCTTAGTGTCGTTCCTCCATGAAGAGGGGGAGCGACAAGATACCAGGGGTCTTCAACAGTTCACAGAAAATGTGTTATTTAAAAACTATGCACGTCCACACAGCAGACTCATAGAATGACAATTGCTTTAAATAACACTCTGACCTCAGAATCAGCCCTTAAGGCTTCTTGGTCTGGCCGCAAAGCCCATGAGGCCATTTCAGGCATGGAAAGCCTAGACATTGTGGCAAAAAATGTTCTACATGAAGGATCTCTGTGAGTGAGACAAAAGCAGAAAAAAGTGGCCATCAAAGAAGTTTGTACTTTTCTCTAAAGGGAGGAGAGAGCTTCTAATTTGCTTATGGCTTTGTCCAAATACTGATGGAGTTTGTGGACTCAAAAGATTTCCATAGCCTAGGTAGCTCATGTCAAGAGCCTTGGGTGGTCACTGACATCATACATAAGAGTGTTAATTTTTAACAACAGGAGTCACTGTGCACTTACTCCCCACGCAGGACCTCTGTCCTCAATGAGTTGTATTATGAAAGTTAACTGTAAAACTTGTTCTCAAACAGCTTTGTGTGTGTGTATATGTGTGTGTGCAAATTGTTGAAATCTTTACTTAGTATGGAGTTGGTGTACAAAGTTACAAAGTTATGGAGTTGGTGTACAAAGTTAGTTGAAAATGAATCTTAATGGAGAATGGAACTGGCAACAGGAAAGGAAGGAGGAGGAAGCCTGGGAGTGTGGGTGGGGAAGTGGGTATGGTGGGAAGAATCACTATATTCCTAAAGTTGTACTTATGAAATTTGTATTCCTTAAATAATAAATTAAAAAAAAACTATGCATGGGTTTTAAAAAAATTTTGCACCAAAAAAGCCTTATCTTTTAATTCATTTTTCCATAACATTTTGTATTACCCTCATATTTGCTTGCTTTATCTCTGATACAGACAAAGACCCACAGAGATAATTTTTTACTTATTTCTAATTTTTTGGTATTTATATTTATTTATTTGAAAGGCAGAGTGACACAGAATGAGGGAGAGACAGAAAGACCTTCCACCTACTGATTAATTCCTCTTGTCTCCAATACTCAGGGCTTGGCCAGATCAAGGCCAGGGGCAAAGAACTCCACCCAGGTCTCCCACACAGGTGGCAGGAATCCAGGTACTTGGGCCATGGTCTGCTGCCTGCTGGATGCATTAGCAGGAAGCTGAATAAGAAGCAGAGGCTGGACTCAATCCCAGGCAAACCAAACAGCAGTTTAAGCTGCTGTGCCAAGTGCCCATCTGGAAGTTTTAGCACAAATATCTTCCTATTAGCAGACTGAGTTTCTAGAAGGTCAAACTTGTCACAAACTGATAGTAGGAAGTAGCAAAAATAGAATTTTCATTTCTGGATCCAAAGATTCTATCACCCCTTTGCAATATACCCTACTTTCTCCTTTTGGTTGAAGACTTAACTTGTTCTGATCTGCTTTAAATTTTTTTTTTCCTTTTTTTGATAGGCAGAGCTAGACAGTGAGAGAGACAGAGAGAAAGGTCTTCCTTCCGTTGGTTCAACGGAAATGGCCGCTATGGCCGGGGTGCTGCACCAATCCAAAGCCAGAAGCCAGGTGCTTCTTCCTGGTCTCCCATGTGGGTGCAGTGCCCAAGCCCTGCCTTCCCAGGCCACAGCAGAGAGCTGGACTGGAAGAGAAGCAACCAGGACAGAATCTGGCGCCCCAAGCAGGACTAGAACCCCGGGGTACCAGCGCCAAAGGCGGAGGATTAGCCTAGTGAGCCTGTTTTTACACATGAATGGTAAGATAGGCATTTTTCTATTAGCTGACACATCTGTGTTTAAGTGTCTCCATCAATGAAGTTTTCTATGTTATATCCATGAACATTTCAAGCTGAAAAGCATAGAAGATAATATATAATTGCTACCAAAACTTTATGGTTGTTTACATTTTGCTGTATTTGTTTTGAATAATACATATATATAAACCTCTGCTTGAACTTGTCAGCCGTCCCTTCTTGCCTTTCTCTCTCTCTCTCTCTCTCTCTCTCTCTCTCTCTCTCTCGGAGCTGGGGTCATGACTATACATGTTTGTTCTTTGATTCCACACATACACACTTGGTGTTGGCCAACCACGCAAACCCTGGGAGGCCAAGATGGATAATGTTTACGTTTTCTTCTCAGTATTGTGTGCCCAGTGCCTGAACCTGATAGACAGTCTACAGAGTTTCTGAACAATTACGCAACAATAGAACAGTTGGGGCCAACGCTGTGTGCAAGGGGTTAAAGCCCTGGCCTGAGGTGCCAGCATCCCATATGGGCACCAGTTCGAGTCCCGGCTGCTCCTCCAATACAGTTCTCTGCTATGGCCTGGGAAAACAGTAGAAGATGGCCCAAGTCCTTGGGTCCCTGCACCCACTTGGGAGACCCAGAAGAAGCTCCTGATTCCTGGCTTCGGATCGGTGCCGCTCTGGCCATTGCGGCCATCGGGGGAGTGAACCAGCAGATGGAAGACCTCTCTCTCTCACTACCTCTCTCTATAACTCTATCTTTCAAATAAATAAAATAAATCTTTAAAAAAATAATAGAACAGTTGTTCATAATTATAAAGGTACACATGTGTTGCCATACTATGTCTTCTCTGACAATTTATGGAATTTTTTTGCCACCTTAAGTTTATCAGATTCATCCTATTATCATGTAGAGATGGAGTTCACTCATCTTAAATGCTGCATAATTTGCCCTTGTATAAATAAGCAACATATTGTCTACCTGTCCCCCCAAGGACATCTAGATTTTGCTCTACTGATCCATGAAACACTGATGTGCTAATTACAATGATATTGAGATATTTCCTCATATTTGTTAGGCTGATAAACTTTCTTATTATGATCAGTGTTAAGTGAGGATACTCCAAAAAGTTCCTGCAAAATGAATATTATAAAAAGACTCTGCATGGATTTCAGTATTTTTGGCACCAAAATAAATTTGTTGTTTAACCCCATTTTCTACGTACTCTCTGTAGTGCTCTTGTACATTGCTGGTGGGAGCTTGGCAGTGATTAGGGAAGGGTAAGCGGCTCAGACCCTGTGATGGAACAGCATCACTCCCAGGTGTAGCTTGACAAGGACAAGAAACCCGAGCATGTGCAACCTCAACACTTTGGGCAACAGAAATGTTCAACTCCTTTATTTACACACAACAAAGTTACCTTACATCTTGGTCAAAAAAAAAAAAAAAACTATTTTATTACAGTCATGGACTTTGTGAGTCAGTGATTCAGAAAGCAAACAATGGGGACAATTGTCGCTAGCCCAAGACTTCTGAAGGACTTGAAGGCTGGGCGTGGGAGGCCTCTGGAAGCATCTCCATGCCCACGTCTGAGAGTTGGTGCTAGCCCTGAGCAGGAATCTCAGCCGATGATGGGAAAAACTACAAGTGACCTGAGCTTCCCCCAGCTTGGTGACCTCAAGCCACTGTGGCAGCTCGGAGCCCCCACAATAGAGAATCCAAAGGGAGCCACATGGAAACCACTCCCGATTTTCGATCTGCTCTCAGAAATCACATGTCATTTTTTCCATCACAGGCACAGGTCAATCCTGATGAAAGGGAAGAAACTTTGACACATCTCTCAGGGGAGGAGAATCAAAAACACAGCATGGGAAACACTGCAGCCAGCTTTGGAAAGAGAAAGTAGCCATTGTAGGGGGGTTGGCGGGGTGGGCGGGGGCATGCAGAGAGGTCTCCCACATATTTCCTGTCTTCCTGTTCACTTCCTCTCTTTTCATCATTTCCATTATATTCTCTGAAACTGTATGAATTTGGATGTCTGTATAAATTCTACATTCTGTATGTATTTGATGCATATGAGACACATGTACTCGGCACACTTGGCTATATCTGTATTTACAACTGTCTCCTTAACTCATACAAAGTTTTACTAAAATGTGTCCATGCATAAAATACCATTTTCATTGGCCTTTGCCATCACACACCATTTTGCCAAACGTGTTTCCTTAAATGTCTTTGTTCTTGAATGATAAACAAGTCAAGCAAGCACATACTTGCACAGCTCCTGCAGGCCTTAACTTGTTCTGCTATACAGAGTTCTCTTTCATGTTGTGGCCCCCTTACTTTTCTGCCAGGTTCTTCTCTTGTTAGAAAAGCCTAGAAAAAATGATTGTTTGTTTCAC